CAGATTTTCTGAACTTGACTTCGCTTTTGATGACACGCAAGGTTAGGGGAAGGTGATTGAAAATTTTCTTGCCCTCAAAAATTAGAGAGTTGCGAATTACGGTAGAGGAGGGAATTGGAAGCGAGATCAAGTGAGATGAGATGATGACGACTGAATAATGACGTTGATATAGGAATTAGAGAAAGCATATCATAGAATATACAGATATGTTTTTATTTTTTTTTCAAAGTAGTACTTCTGTCAAAGTATACGGTGGTTCTGCGGCTATGGACTTGCTTGATTCTGTTGCAAGAAAATGGATAATATTCAGGTAGCAAAAGAAGCAAAGTTACTACCAATTCTTTTGTTTTCAGGTAGTGCCCTGATTGATGAAAGCGTAATTTAATCGACCGTCCGGCCAAAATGGATGTAATATAATAACTATATGGAACTCAATAATATCAGCCACACCCAATTGGAAAATGGATAATAATCTGGTAGCAAAAGAAGCAAAGTTACTACCAATTCTTTTGTTTCCAGGTAGTACTCTGATTGATGAAAGCGTAATTTAATCGACCGTCCGGCCAAAATGGATGTAATATAATATAAATATGAAACATTTAAGTAATACATTCAATTAGTGCTATTTACCTGTGGTTAGTGGACTCGATAGTTTTATTGTCAAATTCATTTACCAGTTGAGAAAAATGGACACGTGCAATTATTTGTATGAAAAGCAAAATCTTCAGCCAAGTTTTGAAGACGAGATTTCAAGATTGGACCAGATCATAATTTCATCTACTAAGTCAGTGAAGGGTAGAAATACAAAATCTTCAAGCTGCGCCACAAGTGATAGGTTGAATAAAAAGTATTCAAATCCAAAAGAATTCCGTGGACATGATGGTGGATTAGGAAATAAGGCGAATTTACTTTCCTCGCGTGGTTCAGACACAGAAAAACAAAAGAAGGAACTGACCAAAGGACATGGATGTCAGCAAAGTAGTGAGTTCGTTCGCTGTGAAGCGGAACATAGTCGAGTCTTGAAAACACAATCAAACGAAAGCAAACCAAATATTAGAAAACAGGATCTCGAAGTAGCCCAAGTCAGGATGTCGCCTACAGGTGCAATTATGTTGGGTCAACAGTCTGATGGGCGGTTGAAAGAAAGAGGAACTGTAAAGGATTTGGAACGATCTAGATCTCTGGAGGCGAATAGAAATCTTGAAAAGGATTTCGGGAGTAAACGAGAATTGACAGAAATCAGACACCTGGAAAAGGGAAGTGGTCGACTTGAGAAAACAGGAGTTAGATCCTCAGTTTCTTCTGGAGCCAGGAGGCCCCTACACAAAGCCAAATCAACTTCAGAAAGAAGAGCAGACCGTGGTGCTGAAATTCACAAAAAGTTGAAAAGACTTTTTTCTCCTGAACCGGAAAAGGAAGGCGCTAGTGTTAGGCTTGAGAAAAAAGAGGATCGATCATCGATGTCATTTGCGCCTGAGTCTGATGGCAAGTCTAAAACGAGGGAACCGGACCATGATTATAAAGAGAAAGGACGTGTATTTCAACAAAATACAGGAAAGATCCATCCATCGACTGAATCGAGAAATGGAAGTCAGAAGACGAGCAAAGTGTCTGATGGGAAGTGTAATACAAAAAAACCGGACCGTGATGCTGAAATATACAAAAAGTTGAAGAGACTTTTTTCTCCTGAACCAGACACGGATCATGAATCTAATATAGTGAACGGACGACAGTTGCAGGAGACAAGGAACAGACACCTGGAAAAGGACAGTGGTAGACTTCAGACAACGGGAGTTAGATCCTCAGTTTCTTCTGGAGTCGAGAGGCCCCTACACAAAGCCAAATCAAATTCAGAAAGAAGAGCAGACCGTGATGCTGAAATTCACAAAAAGTTGAAAAGACTATTTTCTCCTGAACCGGAAAAAGAAGGCGCTAGTGTTCGGCTTGAGAAAAAAGAGGATCGATCATCGATGTCATTTGCGCCTGAGTCTGATGGCAAGTCTAAAACAAGGGAACCGGACCATGATAAAGAGAAAGGGCGTGTATTTCAACAAAATACAGGAAAGAGCCGTCCATCGACTGAATCGAGAAATGGGAGTCAGAAGACGAGCAAAGTGTCTGATGGACAGTCTAATACAAAAAAAAAGGATCGTGACGCTGAAATACACAAAAAGTTAAAGAGACTTTTTTCTCCTGAACCAGACACGGATCATGAATCAAATATAGTGAACGGACGACAGTTGCAAGCAAATTGAATTATGTCATCGAATTTCCTCTAGAAGGATTGGATATGGACAATTTTGCAGCAGAAAATGTGGCTACTTGTTGTTATAATCTACATACACTTTTAAATCACAGTGGGACTACTAACAGAGGGCATCATACAGCATACCGCAGACACTCGTATACTGGCACGTGGCACAAATACAACGATTTACACGTATCACCAATTTCACCAAAATTGCTTGTGAGAGGAGATGCATACATCCTCTTCTATGGAAAAGAAATAACGAGGTTTGAAAAGTTATTTTTGAACTGTTGATTTTATTGTAATAATGAATATATTTTTAATAATGACATCTACAGTTTATATATGAATTAGAGAAAGCATATAAAAAAAAACGCGTGTTTCTTTTTAGAATCTTGTTGATAACACCATTTTCATGATCATTTCTATCGGTTGTAACTTTTCATTTGAATATGCAAATATGCTTCAAAGGCTTGTTGGAAAGTGGGGGTAGTAATCTTGCAGTTGTTTTGTTCGTTAAAAATAATTGTTTCGTACATAAATACATTTTTCGAATTCAACACATGAACGTATTTGAATGTCTTCACATACTTTTCGCTCAAAACCTCATAAATAGTGATTTACAGATCGTGTTTGATATTTCACCAGCTCATAAATTGAAGTTAAACTTTACAAAGTCGGCAGTAATGATCTTCGGACCAAAAAGATTGCGATATATCGCAAAAATGGTCTCCATATTCATATAAATGGTGACGTTCTCTGCCTTTCATAACTGATGTAAAGAACTTAGGCCTGTGCTTTGATTCTGAAGTGCGCTATAGAAAACACGTTAACCATTTGATCCAAACGTCTCCTAATAACTTGAAGCAACTATTCAAAAATCGGGACTTAATCACCCAACAACTCAAACTGAAATTATGTAAGTCTCATATTGCGATAGCATTTATGGCTCTGCTATACATCAATCTGATTCCCTCCCACAAAGTCTTGAACACCGGAATGTCACATTATTTAATGAAAAAAGTTAATTATTTCTCAGCGTGATTTTGTTGCAAGAAAATATTCAATGAGTGAAATACCGCCAACAAAGTATCGAAGCAATCTTACAATTATAAAAAGCGGCATTCATGCCACGACTCATTTAAACTAATGATTTCCACATTTATATGATAGGATTTTGATTGTTCAATTTTCAATGGTTGAGAAAGACAGAGAATTTCAGATAGAAAACAAAAATCGGGAACAGAAATCTACATGTTGTGAAACAAGCAAGGGGATTAAATAAATAAAATATTTATTAATCCTTTCAACTATTGTTAACAATAGATAGGATAAGTCAAAAACAGTGTCATTAACTGATCACATTCATGAAGTACGAGTAATGTTGAAAGTAGGAGTATATTATAACAGTGATCTCTCACTCTTGACAGACACAAAAAGATATAATTTCAACTCAGTGGGATGTTGTGACAAAAAAACGACCGTTAATGAATTAAAATTAATTGCAAGCTCTTAGCAAAGTAGCTTCACACTAATTTAATTATTTGCAGGCGAATTTCAAAGGCGTTTGTAAATTAATAACATTCACTTTTATGTTGGAATTTATTAAGCACAATAACCCTTCGCTTGCTCAAGATCTTTTGTTGCGCGCTATATTTTTTCTTCGAAATATGTTGGTATTTCATGTTTGAACGCTGATTTCAAAGTGTTTGTTCTAGCGTAATATTGCAACAGAGGGAAAGGTCATCGTAAAAGGCTGTGGAATTTTTATAAAATGAAAATCTAGGGATAAGGAGTGCTATTTTGTTTTGTCGGAAAAAAGGCGACTTCACAGAGTGTTTCAAGTCTTTGTAGATCGTTTATGTAAAGGACCAAATACACTTTTCCTAAAAAATGCTCAGCTGAGGATAAGCTGAAATTCTGATAAATGGAA